TATTGATTTTGACATATTTTATTCAAATACCAGTCTGATCACACATGGCTCAAGAACATTCAAATAATAAACCCAAAAGAAACAGATGTTAATGACTGGTCTTCAAACATTATCACCAGTCCACGCTTGTCTATGATCTCGCCAACATAAAACCACATCCACACCTCAGTGGCCACCAAACCATTCAGCAGAGCTTCCTTAACTGTGAGCTGTTTGAAGCTACCAGTTTGAGCACTACTGACTATTTTTTTCAAGCTCTGAATAGCTGTAGGGATCTCAGCAGGGGTTGGAGGAACCAGCTCAACCTTGGTATAATGCCAAAATGTGGCCAAGCGAGGCTTCGAGTAAGTCATAGCGGTGTTTACCAGTGCCGGGGCCTTCTCTGCGAGGTTACGGACAAACTGGGCCATGGTTCTAGGATGGAAAGTCCATGGACTTGAATGGCCGGCTGAACGTCACCCCCTCCGCTTATTCTTTGTCACACTTCAACCCCACCCCTTCTAAGCAAGTAACATTCAAGTCTGTGCCTTTGCCTCTCGGCCACACTGTGGTTCCACACCACACATCTCACTCAAGTGTCCGTCTGCCGCTTTAAACAGCATCTAAAACCTAGACTTCCCTTCGCTCAAACCAGCCTCGTTCCTGATTTCCCTGTTTCTCGATGGTATCATCAGATAGGCCACCCCCTGTCCCCTTATACCTAATTAGTCACCAAAAATTGTAGAAATTTATCACTATTTCTCTGCTCCCAGAGCCACCCATCCTTGTCTAGGTTACTGCAGACATCCTAGGTTGGTAAGTCTGCAAGTCTGTCTGACCCTCCCATACCTTCCTGGTGGCAAATCTCTTCACAGAAATCTACGATGGCCTCTCAGTTACAGCCTACTGAGATAAGACTATGCCCCCATCTGCTTTCCAAGCCTGGCCCTGCCACACCTGTTCACCGACTTCCCATGAATGAAGCCAGGCTGCTTTTCCCACTGATGATCATAGGAAGATAGTCCTTTGAGTGTTGTGTTCCCTTAGTGTATATTTACGGGGTTGTGATCTGGTCTTTTATGGAAACAAGCTCTTTATTTCTGATTCTGATTTTCAGGAAACCAGAGATGTTTCTCTGGGAAAGAATGCATGCTCTGTATTGTTTTGCCTGTAACCCCTCACTGAGTTGATTCCCAGCATTCCTTCTCAACACAGCTTTTTTAGCTAACAAAATAAGCATCGTTCAAAACCTTATCCATCATCAGCTGGGCAGAAGGTAGCACGTTATCCAGGGCCTCAGTTGAGTTTAGCCAGGGGTGGTCCAACACTCCCTCGATGGTGAGTCTTTCCTCTGGTTTGACCTTCAGGAGCCTGTGGGGAAAAGGCCAACAGGGCTGGCACGCTCAGTTGCTTCCAGAAGGCCAGGAAGTTCCTAGGTCTGGCTCTAACCACCTCTAGCTATCACTTTCTACCAGTTCGTACAGGCTTTCCACCTGCAGGGCAGGAGTGGGGTTCTAGTCCCTGACCACTAGATGTGAGGGCACCATGTCCTTAGATGGTCCTTCCTATCTGTACTAGACAAAGTGAGATCAAATTGGTAGGAAAAGGCTTAATTAGTCCAGTAACACTTCAGACTGAGTTCTGCGTTCAGTAAGATAATCCTACATATGGCTTCTAGTTCCTAAACCTTGAATCGCCATATTGATGTTTCTAGGACAGTGGGCTCTCATTTCCAAAAGGGACTAAGAGTGTTCTTTTGGCTGAGAGAAGTTACAAAATTAGTCAAAGCGTCTGGAGGTTCTAAAAATCCAGGATGTTACCATGTAGCAGGACATGAACCCTTTACTCCAGAGATATTCAAAGCTAAACATCTAGAGTCTGAGAAGGGGATGGCATTTCCTTCTAAGCCTAATGCAGTGCTCTGATCCTGCTTCTTTACATGTTGTCCATTCATGCTGATGCAACTCCTAACTCACCTTAGCATGTTTCCTGGGCTATTTAGGGCACCTCCTTCCAACTACACATCCTCCCATTCCAAATGTCAGGGTCAGACAACAGGCCTATTTGCTCTTTCAGGTTCTCTGCAACCTTCTGGCTCATTCTGAACCAACAGCATCAGATTCTAAAGAACAGGTTTATTAGAAAAGAATTCCAAAGCTGAAAGATCATCATCAATGTTGCTCTAGGGACAGAAAATATATCCTATAGAACTGGCAAAGAACTACTCAGAGGATAATAATGTTTTGGTTAAGTAGGTGAGACTACAGCATGGGAAGACAGATGATGATCTCAACATTGCCTCCAACTTCCTAAAAAACTTTTACTTGTATATTTTAGAAACTAGTCCCTCTTTATATACTTAGACCCCTAGCCAACAGGATAAGCTCACTTTTGAAAGGGAGGAATCTCCATAGAGAAATAGAAATGGCTGTGCTGTCAGGAGACAGTTCCCAGGTACTGCCCCTTTAATGCCTGTCTTCATCACATTACAGATGAAGAAACTGAAACAAAAAAAGGATATTGCTGAGTGAAACCCAGCAGTAGGAATACCAGAACAGTGCCCAAATCCCAGGCAGCTGAGCCTCCTCCACAGGTGAGCAGAAAAAGCAAGCATACTTCAAATTTAGGTCTGACTTTTTACCTACTCCTCCAGGTACCAGAGCACTCTGAATGTCAACTCTCCCTCATCTACTCACTAGCCCTAATTTACTAAATCTTCCCATCTTAATATATGTCACAGCAACCAACGAGCAGTGAGAAGGCTAGAAGGTGGGGTCCAGGCTCCACACCCTCAATCACATACTCCCACAGCAGCCAAGGAATGAAAAGCCAAAAGCGTCGCTGTCATCTTAGCACCCTAGTTCAGTTCCAGGCATCATGTCTGTTGCAAATGACTGGCTTCCATGAAGAGGGCACACCAGGGGGGGTTATCATTTAGGGTCATGTATTAATGCTCACAGAGACACTGGCTACAGGAGGGAGCGAGGCTCCTTTTCACTGAGGTGTGGACACAGAGGACTCTCATCTCAGGCTCCAGGGATAAGATTTCTGTGATGCTAAACAGTAAGGAGCATGCCTAGGAAACAGTGACTTTTCCTAATCAACATTCCCTTGTGCTCCACCATCATGTGAAGGCCTCCTTGGCCTCCCTGCCCAGGGCCCAGGGACTCACTTCCTCACAACATCTTTGGCCATCTCTGAGATCTGGCTCCACTCTTCCTCTGGGAACTCAAAGCTGCCCGTCATGATCTTTCTCCGCATATCCTTTGGGATAGTCCGACTGTGGTGTTTGGAGTAAAAAGGAGGGTATCCGCACAACATCACGTAGATGATCACCCCTAGGGACCACAAATCACAGCTCTGAAAGCAAAAAGAAAACGGTCACTCATCACAGAGGCACAGCTCCAAAATAAAACCCCCAGGACCGACCGGCCCAGACATAAAAAGGCTGGTATCTCTAAGAAATCACTTAATAGAGACTAGAAAAGTTTCAGGAAGTCTTAGGAGAAAAACCTTTTACTCCATAGTTTTTATATGCCGCCTACACTACATATATACACACCAGCATACAAGGCCAGCCTGGGGCGAAGTAAACAGTCACTTTTATTCTCAGTGCTTAGGCCCACGCTGCATTCTGATCCTTGGGTACAGAGGCAGGATACTTTGTCCCCAGCCAGAGGAGTAACAGATAGAAGCCAGCTGGTTGTGAAACATACAGTCTGTCAACCTGGGCAGGGTTGTGGGTGCAGGAACAAAGCAGGGAACGTACAGGTAGGCTGACCCCATAATACAGCACAAGACATTTCGTAAAGGCCCAAAGCAGTTTGACACAGATCAAAGAGAGACACAAGAGGGAAGGCCAGGAAAAGCATTTCTGGGATGCTCTGAGAGAAGCCTGGAAAATGGGGTGTCTCAGCTACTCATACCCATGTTTTGGCATCAGACTAATGGATGTCTGTATATGATATAACCCATGCTGTAGAACAAGATTATAAAATTATAGAGGTGAAACTGAATCTTGAAAATAGTTCAAATCCCTCACTTTACACACGAGGAAACTGATACTACAGAGATCTTTTCATCTCTAAGATCATTTGTGAAGAGTGAAACTAAGTGACCTAATCAACTTATAGCAGCAGCTCAGTAGTGCTAGAGCCAGAGCAAGTTTCCTGGCCTACTGCCTCTTTTTTTTTTTTTAATTGCAGTTGATATATTTATTTAATTTTTAGATACTTAATTATATCTTATTACATATTTTTATTAAACATTTGTATTAAAAATTATTTGTAAATGTAGCATTCAGTGCTCATTTAGTTACCAATACAAAGATTATATCTAGACCAACATATATACACATTAAAAAGAACTATGAACTGTTTATTATTTCAACGTTATTCATCTGCAGTGGGTAATTTTTATGAATGCCACGCTAATTCATGAGCACCAGTAGATACACAAAATGGAACAGGAAGAGAAGAAAAACAATACTGGGAAATAACATATCACACAGGAGTCCACTGAGTTCATGCTGAGAAGATTTTAGTAAATTAATCTGCCTGTTACCTGAGTGCTTCTACTACCCAACTTCTGCTCGCACTGGGAAGCAGGAGGCAGTTTCTGACTCAGATACTCAGGTCAGCACAGCCCTCAGACCTCATGACATAGGGACACAGCTGCCCACAGTCTGAGTTTGAAAGGTGAGAACGTGTGGAACAGTGATTACTTGGGGACCGAACAGTGTTAATCATGAAAGTGGATGTTGAGAGTTCTGGTCACACTGTGCCAGTGCCAAGTGCAGGGGCCTGAGTGGCAGAGGAGCATGTGTTCTTTGATTATGTGTATGCACGTGCATGTGTGCACGTGTGCGTGGGGCCCTCAAAAGTGTGGGACCTAGGAAGAGCTGGCCTACTGCCTTTTTACTATTCTCAGCTCCCCATGTCCTCTATATCCAGCCTTAAGTCCCCAACCAGCGTCATTTTTTTCCACATCTACTCGGCCGACTCCAGGACCTAACTCTTATGCTTTAGAACAGAGATGCTTGATATGTAGGCTACCGAGTAAGAACTGTGATAGTACAGGTAACACTTAAAAGCACTTGCTACATGTACTAGACACTATTCCAAGTTGGGTATTTTATGGGGTAAGAAAGAATGGTAAAATAAAGGCCATGGAATGTTCTCAGAAATGGCCTCCACCTCAAAAAAAGGCAACCCCGTCTTTTAAATGTGGTCATTGGACCACTAGATTCACAAAATGGAACAGGAATAAAAGAAAAATAATACTGGGAAGTAATATATCACAGGAATCCACTGTGTTTCCTAATAAATAAATACCCTACAGGTGACCATAGCCCTTGGTTTCTGATACAAAACCTAAATTGGTTAGAACCTCATTTCATCAGACAAAAAACTGAATTCCAAATACTCTGTGTGTGGCTACTTGCAGCCACTTGGACAGGAATATAAGGGATAAGAATGGAATTAGCCACATTCCCAGAGGGCCACAAACACCTCACAGAAGAGAGACTACACCCAAGGGGTGAAGATAAATATCTCTTCCCCTACCTTGTTATAAGTGTAGGGTGTCGGCGAGGTAGGTATGATGCCAGATTTCTCCTTCTGATGCCTTCTCTGTGCCTCTAGTACCTGTGAGAGTCAGACCAAAGGAGACACTTATTGAAAATCACACTGACACACAACTTGAGACAGCTGCTGGAAGGCTGAAAAGGGTAGACACTGGGAAGTCAACAGTAAAAAAAACTCCACATAAACACAATATTTTCAAAAACCTTTTCCCCCTTACAACCAGCAATTCATCAGTGTTTGCCTGGTCAAGAACATTAAGATCAAGTCCCTGGAGGAGATTTATCTCTTCTTCCTGTCCATCAAGGCATCTGAGATCACTGACTTTTCCCCTTATGCCTGTGTAAAAGCAGACCAGTAGTGGCCTGCAGATCAGATTCAAGGTACTTGTTGCTCTCAGGGACTGTAACAGTCATGTAGGTCTAGGTGTTAAAGTAACCACTACCATCCATGGTGCTATCACCCTGGCCAAGCTCTCCACTGTCCTGTGCAGTGGGACTCCTGGAGGACCAAGACTGGCAAAACCCCCATGGTTCCTTCCAAGGTGACAGGATGCTACGGCTCTGTCCTGTATCCTTCATTCCCACTGCTATTGTCTTGGCCGCCATGCCTATGAACCTGTTCCTGATGGCTGGTACTGACAACCGCTACACCTCAGCCATGGGCTGCACTGCCACCCGGGACAACTTTGCCAAGGCCACCTTCAATGCCATCTCGAAGACCTATAGCTTATCTTACCACTGATTTCTGTAAAGAGACTGTTTACCAAGCCTCCCTCCCTATCAGGAATTCACTGACCACCTCATAAAGACCCACAGAGCCTCCATGCGCAGGACCCAGGTTCCGGCTGTGGACACCAAAAAGTGTTTTTTATATAAGAAGAATAAAGTGAATTAATTAAACGTAAAAAGGAAAATACCATTTATGAGAGTATAAAAAATATTAAGGTCAAATCTAACAAAAGATGTGAAAGACGTGTACACTGAAAATGAGACAAATATTGCTAAGCAAAACTCAAGACAAAAATAAATGGAGCAATATAGCTTGCTCACGGGTTGGAAGGCTCAGTATTGTTAGATGTCAGTACGCCAAACCTCTAAATTGATGAACCAAACCTCTAAAACAACCCTCCAAATACCAGCAGGCTCTTACTCGAAATAAATAGTTGATTCTAAAGTTCATATGGAAATGAAAAGAAATTCGAATAGCCAAAACAACTACAAGAAAGAACAACAAAGCCGGAGGGCTAACACTACCTTATTTCAAGAATTATTATAAAGCTATAATAATCAAGACAGGGGCCGGCCGAGTGGCGCGATGGTTAAGAACTGGCTTGGGATGCCAGAGGGCCCGGGTTCAGATCCCACATATGAGGGCCAGTGACACTGCCCTCTACAGCTAGGATGCTGAACAACAGCTCGACCTGGAGCTGGGCTGCCATGAGTTGCCGGCGACGGCATAGGCTGCAGCCCCTGTGGCAGTGGGTTGCCATGGGCTATCGTATGTAGCCAGCAGCCAGCGTGAGCGGCCAGCAACCGCAGTGAGCAGCCATCCAGAAGCCAGCAACTGATCTGCCTCGCCCGGGAAGAGCGCAATGATGGTGCCAACTTGGGCCAGTGAAGCAACGTCCTCCACAACTAGACTGAAAAACAAAACGACAGCAACCTGTCTGTTCCCCTTCCCCCAATTCCCCAGCACTGTTCCCATCCCAATTCCCCAAAAAAAAAAAAAATAATAATAAATAAATAAATAAAAATTAAAAACTTCTATTTAAAAAACTATTAAGAAAATTGAAAAGCAAGCCAGACTATATATTCATAATACATGTGTGGTAGGCAGAAAAATGCGCACCCACCAAGATCTCTATGTCCTAATCTCTGGAACCTGTTACCTTACATGGCAAAAGGGACTCTGTAGATTTGATTAAGTGAAGGATGGTGAGATGTGGGGCTTCTCTTGGATTATCTGGGTGAGGCCAGTGTAGACACTGGAAGATGCTACACTGCTGGTTTTGAAAATGGAGGAAGAGGCCACAAGCCAAAGAATGCGACAGCGTCTAGAAGCTAGAAAAGGCGAGGATATGGATCCTCCCCTAGAGCTTCCAAAAGGAACAGTCCTACCAACATCTTGAAAACATTTCAGACTTCTGACCTCCAAAACTGCAGGATAGTAAATGTGTGTTGTTTTAAACCACTAAGTTTATGGTGATTTGTTAACATCAGCAGTAAAAAATTAATACATATGTACAATAAAGAACTTGTATCCAGAATATAACAAAAAATTCTTACATCTCAATTATAAAACCAACAACAAAAAAGGGGCAAGAGATTTGTACCCATATTTCAGAATGGCCCATGAACACGTGAAAAAATACTCATCAACAGTAGCCATTAGGAAAATGCTGTAATTAAATCCATAATGAAATAACACCATGTATCTACCAGATGACTAAGGTTACAAATATTAACAAACATGAGCAGGTGGCAGCAACTGCACCTCTTTCTTATACATTACTGGTGCATATGTAAAATGGTAAAAAAACATTTTGGAAAAAGATATTACTTACGGGGGAAAATATGTCCCCCAAAACTTGTAAATGAATGTTCACAGCAACTTTATTCATAATAGCCAAAAATGGGAACCAACCCCAAATGGCAATTAGTCAGTGAGTGGATAAACACACATATCTTAGTCATAGGATGGAACACTACTCAGCAATAAAGATAATGCAGCAACATGGATGAATTTTAAAAACATGTTGGGTGACTGGTTAGCTCAGTTGGTTAGAGCGTGGTGCTGATAACACCAAGGTTGCCGGTTCGATCTCTACATGGGCCACTGTGAGCTGCGCCCTCCTTAAAAGAGTCAACTATGCCATTGTAGCATGAAACCCATGTATAACCAATGACTATGGCTGGTCCCCAATAAAAATAAAATTAAAAAAACAAAATATGTTGAGCAAAAGTAAAACACAAAGGTGCATGAATTTTATTCTTATGAAATTCTACAACAGGCAAAACTAACCAAAAAACCAAATCAGCGGTTGCCTGGGGCTGGGGGTCAAGTTGGGAGCAGACTGACTGGAAAAGCACACAAGACAGATTTTGAACTAATGGAAATGTTTTGTACCTTCATTATGGAAGTGATCGTGCAGGAGTATCCATTTATCAGAACTCATCAAACTACACTTAAAGTAGGGGTATTTTATTGTATTTAAATCATACCTCAATAAAGCTGGTTTTAAAAAATAAAATGCCGACACCAAATGAAGCAGCCTGTAGGTTTCTGAAGCTGAGTTCTCCCTTCCCATTTGTAATACACGCCTACTTGTGTGCAGAATAAATGTAAGTCTACAGGCAGCTTGGTGATACATCCTATGGCAGAAACAGCACACGCTTACCTGAGGTGCTACATAATAAGGGGTGAATTGGGGTGTCATCAAATCACCTTGGTCAATTTTGGCAAATCCAAAATCACACAACTTCACTGGGGCATCCTGAAATAAAATAAAGAGAGTCCTCAGTAAATATTAAAGGAAAATTCAGGTGTAAGACATGTTACCTTGAGCTTGTACAAGTTTCTGGCTGAGACCTGGGCCTATGAGTAGCATGTCCTCAGGTCTGGAGAAATGATTCATATTGAGGAACTTCTTAATAATACAGAAGTAAGGAAGTTCTACCCACTCACAGTTAGCCTTGTTTCATAACTTATACAGGTAGCACTAAAATCAAAATCTTAGCCAAACGCCCCGACTCTATCTACTGGCCCATTATCTCTCATCAATCCAGGGTCCTGCTTCACTCGTCAACACCAGCTTCATGACAAACTTATTTCATAGGGCATGGTGCAGGGGGGAAGGGGGGGCAGCTGGAGGAGAAAATATACCTTATCAGCAAATACAACTGTTAAGTTTCAAGGTAATGTATAATAGCATATAGATTCCTGCCTCTTCCCAAAGTCCCTCCAAATAATATCCCAAATCTTAAGTCCTACAAATACATAGTAGCATCCAAAATTATCAATGCCAGGGGTATGGTACAATTTCTCTGGGCCCCTAGCAAGGGAACAAGTCAGAAAAGAAAGCTACTTGACGCACCGTGGCCTAAAGCCTCTTCACTACGGATTCAGAGCCCTCCAAACACATACACACCTACACACCCATTCCTAAACTATGCACAAGCGGCAGCACGAAAAGGCAGGAAAGCAAGGCGTCTCACCAACGAGTTATCCTTGAAAAGCAGATTCTCAGGCTTGAGGTCTCTGTGCGCGATGTTTAGCAAGTGACAGTGCTGTAGAGCCAAAGCTATCTGGAAAAGGACATAAAGGAGCAACCGCATCTTAAAAGAGTTAACTCTTTAATGCCCCTGATTTAGAGAACTCTGGATGTTTCAAAATGATCCTAATTAAGTCAATTAAGACTGTGGTTGGTTTTCAATTTTAATGCAGAAATTAAGTAAGACTTGGTACCAAGAAACGATGAATTAAGCTTAGTTTAACTGCAACCTGTATTTTGTTCAACAAAAAGAAAAATACGATAGTGAAACAATTCTTTATCAGAACGAACTGATGGTTAAATCCTGTATTAAATGGGGAAAATGAACTGTTTCCAGTTCCACTCATCTGCAACGTGCCAAGCACTGCAGAGAACAGTGCCAGGCCATCTTCAGCAGGCCTGAGGGCCCCCAGCAGGGCAGCGGCACCATCACCTGGCCCGGAAGAGAGCTGCACTCTCCAGGGAGCTCAACTTCAGCTCTGCCTTCCAGAAAAATGGAAAGCAGCTAACTGGATTTTTCCATCTGATGTTCCAGTGTGCTCATCCCACTTGTTGAAATGTTGACTGTTAAGGTGGATTTGAAGGGCTTTGTTTTGCAGAAGATTATCAGAGCTCACCCACAGTCCTAATATCTGAAAACAACAAGGTATAACTTTAAAAATTAAAGAGCAAATTCTACCTGTCCTTCAACTCTCAGTATGGATTCTCTTGGTTTTCCAAACCAAAAACGGAGGCATCAAAAAATGCTTGAGGAAATTTGGAAGAATTTTTTATTAAGAACCAATTGGGCTGTGCTTTCTGCTTTTCTTTGCCTTGCTTGCTTGGTCTGAAGATAAGCCTTTATGGTTTAGCTTTTCACCTCCTCAAGACATTATTTCCGGTTGGATTCCTAGTATTGCTTGTGACATACTTCATTTCTCTAGCAATAAAATGTGATGCCAAAATAGACATAACCCAGAATTACAAAGACCTTAGAATACCACTAAAATCTGATGACAGAAAGGTGACTCATAAGCAAAAAGTATCTTATCTACAACTGTCAGAACGTATTTTTATAGCACACAATCTTCCAGGTGGTATAGCAGCATTTTATCTCAAAGTCCAATAGTAGTGCTTAAAAGCTATATGTCTAAAGATATCTACAGTCCACAAAACAGTTAAGATTACCTTCCTTCCAGAGTTTCTTTAAATCTTACAGTAGTTAAACAATTGACAACCGCTTAAGAATATAGTCCCCTCCCCCCCAAAACATAAAAGGGGTCACATATCTCCTGTCAAGGCATCTTTTCTGATTACATAACAAAGCAGGCAATGAAAGATCAAATAGAGCTTTTCTTCAAGCTTTCTTTTATTCCCCCCCCAATGAAATTGTGCTTATTAACCAACGTTGTTGGCAGTTTGATTGGTACCCGGGGTTAACTTGCCTGCTTTGTTACTTGGCTGGCTTGCTTCTCTGTAAAGTGCCGGTGCTGGCTGATTCTGTGAAATAGCTCTCCCCCTTCCATCATCTCCATTACAATTAAGAGTCGAGCCCTGTTTGAAAGCATTTGATTTTGTTAAGTTAAAAAAAAAAAAAAACTGAAACATCAAGTAGCTAACCTAAAGATACCTCATCTACAAAGTGTGTAACTACTTCCTAAGTCTATTCCTACCAAGCTCCTTGGAGTTAGACCCTTTGTTACTACCAACTGGACACTATGCATAAAGGAATATCCCTGACCTAACACTGTCTAAGAAGCTAAAATAGCAGTTAAAGAATAAGTTTTGAAGACAGTGATCCTTTTTTGAAGATACTATAGTTAATTTGTTATTACTAAATGTTAAAGAGGGGATGGATGATCTTTTAAGTGACATGTTCTCTATATGTATTTTAGGGCAGCTACATCGAAAGTGTATTGAAAACAGAATATGACTTTCTGTAGGACAGGAATTTCAAGTCATATGGCTGGGTCATTTGGGCTGTCTTAGTTATTCTGTGTGTGTGTGTGTGTGTGTGTGTCCATTCCCCCACTCCACTAGTTTCACATGTCCCACAGCATGCTCAAAAAGACAGCTACACAGGATTACACGGCAACTAAATAAAAGCAAAAATACAAATGTTGTAAAAAAAGTCTGAATTTTGGTTATCATCTTTTGCTATCAATGCTTCCAGCTTCTATCCAAATGCTTTCACCAACAGAGCACAGTTGTAAGAAATAATCATTTCATTTCCTATTTGTTTTCATGAACCATCTTATTTCTCCATGTGAAAAACTTCTACCTTCCCTCTTCAAATCCCAGCCTCCACATAACCACTCTGTGAGACAACGGCCTCCCCAGCCTACAGTTAACAGCTCTCCTCCTCTGTAAGCTCAAAATATTTTATGGATGCCTCTCCTTGGTGCCTGTCCTACTGTTATGAAGATGGATTTATATCTCAGTCCCCCCAACACAAACCATACCTTATTTAACTTTGAATTCCCTGGGAGAGACTTAGAATGCCACCCAATGGGCTTGCCAAACATTTCTTCCTTTAAAAGGAATGTCAGACTAAGCAATAACGGCTTTTTGCCGTATCAACCTCTAAGACATTGCCTAGAATAATATTTGGTCTTCTTTCACTAATTTGAAATAGAATCTGTTTTAATTCCACATTACATGCTTTTTTTAAAAAAGACAGAAAGTAATCAGAATAATCAGTGGGGCCAGGAGCCTGGGTGGGGTACAGATGAAACAAAACTGCAAGGAGCTGGTAACTGCTGATGTGGGGTGACAGGTACCGGGGGTGGGGTTCATTACATAATTCTGTCTGCTTTCACAAATGTTTGAAATTTTCCAAAACAAAAAGTAAAGGAGAGAAAAAAAGAGAAAAAGGAAGGGAGGGAGGCAGGCAGGGAGAGAAGGAAGGGAAGAAGGGGGGAGGGGCACAAAAGAGAGGAAGATCCCACTACCCCTTGGCCTCCATATGAGAGGTGGGCACGTGATGATGACCCTGTGTCGTCTTACCTGGGGCTGGACTCATGAGGAAACTGTACACTGTTAGCAAACACTTCAATAATTTGAACTATGTTTGGGTGTGTGGCACACATCATGTGCAGACGTACCTTAAAGAGAACAGAGGAAACGTTTCTGTACATAGGGAATGCCAACATATTCTCTCCAAGCTCCGTCCCCCCCACCACCCCCCCAACCCCCAAAAAATGACCACACTAGGAGCAAGGGGATAAGCTTATATTATAGATTAAAAAAAAAAAAACCTTACCACCTGGAAGGATGTTAAAAAAAAGTTTTCACAGATTCCCTCCTTAATGCTCTTTCCATGAATAAAACCTCAACAGATTACTTTCTATTATCCTATCTATTAGCAAATGAAAAATTGGGCAAATAATTCATTGTATTTCAGATATTATTCATATATCTCCAAGCAAAAGAGTAAGTACTTCACTGCACGTTATTAACAAGTCATCACCACATCCAGATATTTTAAAATAAGTGTGTATTTTTAAAAACTAGAAATACATCCTCAGAGCCCTGCTGCAGCATACTGTCAAGATGCTTCACCAGCCCCTTCCTTGTATTATTTTATCTCCATTCTTCAAGGACTTTTTCCAATAAGCAAAAGCTGAAGTAAACCCAAATGCTTCAAGGTACAAGAATAAAACAAGAGGTGGCTGAAAGGAAATAAGCCTCAGTACTAACAGCCTTAGGTACCGAGAGATACAGGGCTGCTTGGTAACGATACCATGAACAGGGGAAAGGGGGAAGTATGAACTTAAAATCACAAATTCTTTGTGCATCTGTGTATTCTCGCTAGGAAGCTGCCTTACTTGTAAAAAGAATAATTCTTAGGCACTTCAAATATTTGGGCAAGTCGAGGCAATAAAGGATCATACCTCATTTCTAGCTTTTGGACGATCAAAAAGAATTTTCAGTGCAAATCGTTCTTGGGTAGAGTTCTTCACACAGACTCTGGATTTGGAGAAAAAAATTCAATCAGAAATCATCTATGTTACAGTGAAAACTAATTTAACAAGTTTGTTCTTTGAGAATTGTACTTCTAATCAAGAAAGAATATATCCCGGGCCGGCCGAGTGGTACGATGGTTAAGAACTGGCTTGGGACGCCAGAGGGCCCCGGTTCGGATCCCACATATGAGGGCCAGTGACACTGCCCTCTACAGCTAAGATGCTGAACAACAGCTCAACCTGCAGCTGGGCTGCCGTGAGTCACCGGTGACAGCGTAGGCTGCAGCCCCTGTGGCAGTGGGTTGCCATGGGCTACCGTGTGTAGCCAGCAGCCAGCGTGAGCGGCCAGCAGCCGCCGTGAGCGGCCGTCCAGAAGCCGGCGACTGATGTGACTCGCCCGGGAAGAGCACAATGATGGTGCCAACTTGGGCCAGTGAAGCAACGTCCTCCACAACTAGACTGAAGAACAAAACGACAGCAACTTGTCTGTTCCCCTTCCCCAATTCCCCAGCGCTGTTCCCATGCCCCCAATTCCCCAATAAAAATCTTTAAAAAAAAAAAAAAAAGAAAGAAAGAAAGAATATATCCCGGTGCATCAGAACAAACGTGCCCCCAAGGCCGGCAGGTGGAGAGGCAGAGATGCATCTCATCCCCTCTTCACAGGCCTCAGCTCCCGCGCCAGGGAAATCAACTCAGGGCTGGCCGAAAAAGAAATAAGGGTGTCTGCCAGCTATAGGGGACTCTCACGGTGGCTCCACAGGATCAACATTTTAAGTGAGTCTGTTACATGTCATGTGACTTGGTCACTTAAATATATTTCTGTATGCACGAGAAACAGCCTAACATAAATACCTCCACTCGTTAAATTAAGGCTGTTTCACAAATCTGGCACCTCTGGTGCTTCTAATTTAAGATGTATTTCAAATCGTCCTTTTCAGAACAATTTTGTCATAGTTTGCACAACTGTTTCTTACCTAACTGGACCACTTATTCCAGCTCCCAGTTTCTGAGTCCAATTGATATTATATTCCTCTAAAATGGAGGTTTCCTATAAAAATAAAAAAGGGAGGGGGCAGAGAATAATTCTGCAGTTAAAAAGCTGAACAATTAAACAGAGGTGGGACAATAAATAGAAGACCTTATCACCCAACATCTCCTGAGAGAATCTGATAAGCAGAGTTTTGTGTTCTGTAGGACTTTATTATTAGACATTTTGTCTAAATTGTTTTCCAACAAGAGAGAAAGCAAAAAGTTTAGGATAAAAAGAGATTCTTCAGCTCATCTACAAGGTCCATTTGAGTACATGCTCAGTGTTTTGTTTTTCTCTTTGGAGTATGGGGAGGAAGATATCTTTCAGAATGCCTCACTAAATACTTATTTGCTAAAATGGTCAGGTGTATTTCCTGAGATTCCAGAAAGACTGGTCTGATACATGCTGCCATGATACAGAGGCCTATATCTTTGAACGAGTTGATCAAATTGTTGGAATAACTGAATAAATTAAGAGTTAAAAGTTCAAATAAAATAATAGTAAATATCAATAGTAAGTTTATCTAATTTTCAACAGCAACATTTTGAGTACAAAGCTGTTCTGTCACATTCATTGCATAACCATACTTTTTATATTTTTTAACAGATTTTTAAAATAGTTTTAAATAGCTTTCAATTAGTTCCAAATAGAGCCTCTACAGTTTAATGAAAGTTTTCATGGAATTTCTATTTAGTCACTGTATGTGAAGCTTCTGTTGCCATACATTTTTAGGCAAGAAAGCTATGTATTGATTGGGTCATTGGAAAAGTCATGAAGCATTTTTGCATTGAAAAACATAGAAAAATACGTCATGACTTTCCCGACAACCCAATATTTAAATTGTGGTAGGTTAAAATTCATTTTTTCAGAGTTCCACAGGTAGAATAGGAAACCATCTGCAGACCTTGAAAACTTAGGCCAAAACTCATGAGACTTGCAAATTGTTTCGTTGCTATTAGAATCTGATAGACCATATTTATCACTAGAATCCTGATTTCCAGTGTATGAGAACTGGTTATTTGTCCATGTAACACACACTCATTGTGCAGTTAATATGTGCCAGACACCAGACTAAGTTCAGAGATGAAAGCAAAGCTTCTGCCCAATGAAAATGCAGGTGTCTAAAACAAGGTTAGAATAGCTTCATCTCTACACCTTTCCGCTGCCCAGTCTTGATAAGTTTTCATCATATAGGAAATGATCAACAATTGTAGAATAAATGACTAGAAAGGTGAAATAAGCCAGATGATGGAGGGATACTGATTTATGAGGGACGAGCAAGGTCATGACATAAACTCCCTTCTGAAAAACTGTACCTCGAGGTTAAGGAGCTTGTCAAGGTCGTACAGTAAGTTACAGGCACTAACAAGGCTAGACGCAGGCTCTGGCTTCTTCCCTAGCACTATTCCGGCATCAGGGGTAACTGTCCAGGCTTCAGCATGAAAAGGGACAAATCTTTCCCAATGAAGGAGGGAGGTCCCAGGCACTGTCTCTACTAACCACCCCTTACACAGAATGCAAACCTACTCATGTAATCTGTCTACCTCCTTCAGTTTCCACTGCATGGCCTGTGGATTTAGAAGCGTTTAAGAAGGTGGGGAATAATACAGGATTAGGAAAGGAGTTGGAGCACAGTCTAAGCTTCATGGTGGAGTAAAATCATTTGCCAAGCCCCTCCTATCCTCGACTCTAATGAAAACATACACTTATAGGAGATTCGATGACAAATAAACATTTGTTCTATGGAATTATTTGTTATAATCAGATCAAAGGACTGTTCATATGCCCAGTTCCTGAGATGTGAAAATAACATTAGACTAAATTCTTCACTGTACTAGTGCTTATTAAGATGGCCCTCTACTTGATGGTCAGCCAAGACAGTTCAAGCGTGTAGAGGCTCTGACTGGAGGTTTGACAGTAGGCTCTGCAGAAGGTAATAGAAGCCCTACCAGGACTCTTTACTGCGCTGATTTCTGAACCCTGTTTTTCTTACACCTCTTGTCCTCTTTCTCAGGTTTAATTCTGGCATCTTTGTGGTTGATGCGATAAACACTCATCAGTGCTAGGGCTTCACTAAGCTCAGCTGGGCAAAAGAAGGAACACTCTTACACCTCTCAACTCTTCTATGCTTCGATTGCATATTTTACCACGTATTTTAATGACAAAAGGAGAAGGTAGGAAGGCATAGGTCAATTAAAACACTTTCCTGAAGGAAATTAGGGAATACTTCAAAGCCATTAATGACAAACACATTGACTTGGCTCTGCTAAAGAAACATATACATTACCTTAAATTAATAAGCATATAGATACATGGAAAAAATTCTTGAGAATCCTTCTAGACCAAGGATTATTTAGCAAATTATGACCCACAGCCAAATCTATCCATTGCTTGTTTTTACAGATAATAATATTTACAAAATAATACGTTAAATGTATAATATTTCTATATAACAAATATAAAAATAAAATAATAATATAGTAAAAAATAAATATTATTTCCTGGGTTAAAAGGAAAGATCCAACTATATAAGCTGCTATCGATGAGACACACTTTAGATTCAAAGATGCAAATAGGTTAAAAATAAAAGGATTTCAACAAATGGTCATGGGAAAACTGGATATCCACATGCAAAAGAAGGAAGTTAGACCCTTAACACCATATACAAAAATTAATTCCAAATGGATCAAAGACCTAAATGTAAGACCTAAAACAACAAAACTCTTAGAAGAAAACACAGGGCAAGAATTTCACAACATTGGATTTGGCAACGATTTCTTGGATATGACACCGCAAGGAATGGGCAACAAAAGAACAGACAAAATGGACCTCATGAAATTTTAAAATTTTGCACATCAAAATACACTATCAACAAAGTAAAAGAGACAACTCACAGAATGGTAGAAAATATTTGAAAATCATACACCTGATACAGGATTAATATCCAGAATAGATAGAGCATTCCTAAAATACAACAAACCCGCCCCCCCGCCAAAAACAAAAACCCAATTCAAAAAATGGGCGAAGGACTGGAATAAGACATTTCTCCAAAGATACACAAATGGCCAATATGCACAAAAAGATGTTCAGTATCACTGAACATCAAGAAGAAAATGCAAATCAAAATGATTATGAGATACCACCTCATACCATTAGGATGGGAATGATCAGAAACAATAGAAAATACCAAGAGTTGGTGAGGATGTGGAGAAATTGGAACCTTTGTGCACTGTTTGTGGGAACGTACAATGGTACAGCTGCTGTGGAAAACAGTATGGCAGTTTCTCAAAAAAATTAAAAACAGAACTAGCATATGACCCAGAAATTCCAAGTACATACCCAACAGAAGTGAAAGCAGGGTCTTGAAGAGATATTTGTACTTCCATGTTCACAGTAGCATTATTCGCAACAGCTAAAACATGGAAGCAACCTAAGTGTCCACTGACAGACGAACAGATAAAGATAAGCAAAATGTAGTATATACATACAATGGAGTATTATTCAGCCTTCAAAAGGCAGGAAATTCTGTAATATGCTACAACATGGATGAACCTTGAGAACATCATAATGTGAAGTGAAATAAGCCAGTCACAAAAAAGAAAATACTATATGATTCCCCTTATATGAGGTATTAGGAATAGTCAAAAATCACAGAGACAGAAAGTAGAATGGTGGTTGCTAGCGGATGGGTGGAAGGAGGCAATGGGGAGTTAGTGCTTAATGAGTATAGAACTTCAGTTTTACAAGATGATGAGTTCTGGAGATGGATGGTGATGGCTGCACAACATTTTGAATGTATTTAATACCACTGAACTGTACACTTAAAACTAGTTAAGATGGTAAATTTTATGTAATGGGTATTTTACTATAATAAAAAAAGAAGAAAAAAAGTAAAAGGATAGAAAAAGCTACACCATGAGTAACCATAGGAGAGCTGGAGGAGCTAGCTATACTGACAACAAACACAATAGACTTTAAAGCAAAAGATGTTAACAGAGAAAGAGAGGCACTTTCTATAATAATAAAAACGTCAGTTCACCAGGAAGATACGACAGTTATAAACATATGTATTCATCTACCTAACAACAGAGTCCAAAAATACATGAAGCGGGCCGGCTGAGTGGCGCGTTGGTTAAGAGCTGGCTTGGGACGCCAGAGGACCCC